AGGTGTTCATGCAGGTTTGCTCTGACAGGCTTACTGTTACAACACTTACTGTTCTTTCCTTTAGATGCTTGTTCCTAATGTGAGACATGTACCATTTGGCAGTAGAAAAATAGCCCTGCTGCTCCCTATACTGATCTGCTGCTGCTATGGTGCCTCTTTGTAGTGAATTTGTTTATTGTGGAACACTGTAAATGCCAGGTGAAAATCAAAGTTATACTTTTCAGTTGGTTAGTGACTGAGCGACATGATCATGATGTTTTTCAAATGCAGAAAAGACACACATTTGACTGACATCCAAAGACAATGCCCAGGCGAAAAACTGCTGAGGAGTTTCAGCAGCCTGGTCCCTCCATGGACTCACATAGGCCTGGTCCCTCCATGGACTCACATAGGCCTGGTCCCTCCATAGACTCACATAGGCCTGGTCCCACCATGGACTCACATAGGCCTGGTCCCTCCATGAACTCACATAGGCCTGGTCCCTCCATGAACTCACATAGGCCTGGTCCCAACATGGACTCACATAGGCCTGGTCCCTACATAAACTCACATAGGCCTGGTCCCACCATGGACTCACATACACTGTAGGCCTGGTCCGTCCATAGACTCCTGTGAGGCTCTGATACGACAACAAACTTTTAGTTTCAAGGAGCATCTGGAGATGTCTAGAAACACTATTTTTCAGATTCTGACCAAGTGTAATGAGCTCATGTCGGGTACTCACCCATAGATCTGCATGGATTGATTGCATATATTTTATTGTATTTTTATCGTATTTTATATTCCCATTCTTTGAATTTGAATCTGAAATAAAGATGAATAATAAATAGATTAGTTCTGCTCTGTGATTGGATAATCTGATTGAAGAATAACTCAACTTTAAGCATTGTTAAGGCCCAATATGATGTTGACCGTTATCTGAGAACGCATATGGATGCAGTTTAAAAAAATAAATAAACACTTTATTTATTTATTTGAGCATCAAATACACGCAAGACATTCCACTCGAAGAGTTGGTCAATTGCAAAAAGATACAAAGAAGAAAAAAAAAATAGTATTAACATTTTTAGTCAGCCTCTACGTACATATACAAATATTGATAAAGATTATATTCAGAAGATGCTCAAAAGAAGTAGGAGGAAGTTTAAAACTTATTGACTGATCTACTATGTATATTTACATGATATTTCTGGAATAATTCCAATATACAGATCACTTCCAATAGTACAAACAGTAATTTTTTTCATAGATTATTGTATAATGTGAAAAAGCTGACAAGTCGACTCTGCTGAAGAGGCCCCTGTGGAGTGTTGGTGGTAGAGTAAAGCGTGGCTGCTGCTGTGGTGCAGATGTGCAGATGTGTGAGTGGTGAGTTTGTGGTGATGTCTTTACGAGGCCTGAGGGACACACACCACACTCACCACAACACTCGGCTGCAACACGCTACTTGCATTGCACACTTTTTTCTTTTTCTCTTTGAGAATATGGACTATAGTCAAGTCATAGGATTTGAAACCAATCTGAAATTAAAGCTGGGGTCCCATCTGTCACACGACAAAGATACAAATTTATTGTTTGGCTTGTCTCCTCAATAAGGTTAGTTGAAACTTGTGGACATAAAAGTCCTCCAGCCACATTTACATTCGTAGGTCAAATTCAAAGAACATTTTAAAAACATGGTTGAGGTAAATGTTATTAAAAAGATTACAAATGTTATTGGTTAACATATTTTTTCATTTGGAGCAACTGTAAAAATGACACAGAGTACCTTTTAGTGAAATTCTGGTTAACCAGTAGCTTTATGTGTGGTTATCTGGAATTCCACTTGTGTGATTTCTCTCTGGTTCTTTGTCGGTAATGCCCAACACGCTGTGATTGTTTAAATGTCAGCTCTGTGGTTTGCACTTGAGTGCTCTCAAAGGAATAATATTTCCTGACACTGACAGATTAATTGTCCAGAAACAACTCGCTGTGATGTCTCTTGACGCCACATTTCTCAGCTACCAGAAGAAAGAAAATCATGTTTGATTGTTCCAACATGCAGACACAATTTCAGTATGAAATATATATTTTTTAATGTTTTCAGAACAACTAATTTGTGAATACAAATGAAAACAAAAACTGTTGCATTATCAGCAGCTTTGAAATCTTAATATGTTGTCATAACCTTGAGTATTGAATGACTCTTCTAATTTCTCCAAATTAACAGACAAAAACAAGGTAATGATTTTATGCAAAAATAAATGAAATTATTCTTTAACAAAAATTATCCTTTTTGGTAGTAACAAAGCACAACTATTTTAATTGAGAGAAATAAATATTTTCTATTATACCAGCCTTAATTGTATAACACAACTAAAATCTGTGCTCTTCAATTAGTGTGTGTGTGTGTGTGTGTGTGTGTGTGTGTGTGTGTGTGTGTGAGTGTGTGTGTGTGTGTGTGTGTGTGTGCGTTTGTTTTGTGGACATATGAGGACTTTTATATGATAACACACCTTCAATATCAGGACCTGAGGAAATGTCAGGACTTTTTTCAGGTCCCCATTTTTCCATGCATACTACAGTGTTGTAGAGGCCCAGAACAAGCTCCACACCAAAAATCAAGCATGTCCCAAAATGTCTACAAATAGTGAAAATGTGTGTCGGGGCCGAAACACTCCGTCCCAAAAAGTTTGAAGCGCCTCTCTGGTCGTGCACGGTACTACCTTAACACACTTTTAACACACACACACTTGTCCTCATATGTCACCTATTTTGTCACAAACTTAAATACATTCCCAGAGGTGGGTAGAATAGCCAAAATATTGACTCATGGTAATTTAAAAAGATACTTGAGTAGTGAGTGTGTGTTTGTAAAAAAAAAAAAAAGAAAAAAACTTTCAGCCAGAAGGGGCCTTTTGGAGTGGAGCTTGCATGTTCTCCTTGTGTCAGTAGATTATCTCCCTGAAAAATTGTCTTAACTCCAGTTGGAAAATCATGTTTAAATTATAATTTAAAACATCAAAAACAAATATAAAAGTGAGGTGTCAAAAATTACAAACACAATGTATAAAAATAAATAATTCTACATTAAAGTTATAATGTATTTGTCCATCTACAGAGTTACTCTCCGTGAAAGGAGTAACGATTGATAAATATTTCACTCAGACCTGAAGTGCTTGTTATACTGTAGGTCCTAATATGTCACTCAGACCTGATGTGTGTGTTGTAGGTCCTAATATCTCACTCAGACCTGATGTGTGTGTTGTAGGTCCTAATATCTCACTCAGACCTGATGTGTGTGTTGTAGGTCCTAAAATCTCACTCAGACCTGATGTGTGTGTTATAAGTCCTAATATCTCACTCAGACCTGATGTGTGTGTTGTAGGTCCTAATATCTCACTCAGACCTGATATGTGTGTTGTAGGTCCTAATATATCACTCAGACCTGATGTGTGTGTTGTAGGTCCTAATATCTCACTCAGACCTGATGTGTGTGTTATAGGTCCTGATATCTCACTCAGACCTAATGTGTGTGTTGTAGGTCCTGATATCTCACTCAGACCTGATGTGTGTGTTGTAGGTCCTCATATTTCACTCAGACCTGATGTGTGTGTTGTAGGTCCTCATATTTCACTCAGACCTGATGTGTGTGTTGTAGGTCCTAATATCTCACTCAGACCTGATGTGTGTGTTGTAGGTCCTAATATCTCACTCAGACCTGATGTGTGTGTTATAGGTCCTAATATCTCACTCAGACCTGATGTGTGTGATGTCGGTCCTAATATCTGATTATCTTGCGTCACATTACAGGTCTTCCTGTGACACGCATTTTCACACACGTCTCTCCTGCACTTTCTTATATTCTCCGCTTCTGTTAAACCTTTCATATAAGCCCCAGACCGAGGGGCACAGGGAGTGTGTGGCTGCAAGGCCAAAGAAAAGCGTTTCCTACGAGTATAACTCCCTCTGTCCTGACCCTGCTCTCAGTAGTGCTATCGCAGTAACACTTCAGACATTAAATAATCAGTCTTTATTTAATCACCAGAACACACACACACACTTGTAACTTCCCTGCCTCCGATCGCTTTGCTCCACACTTTTCATTCTCATTCATTCATTTCTCATTGCTCGTACGCTCGTTGCTGAAGTGTGTGTGTGCACTCGTGTCCGCGGTGCGCACACACACACGTGCACACATATGTTACTATCTGCCCTGACCCTCGCTCTCAGTGTGGTGCTATTGCAATAACACTTCAGACATTCAAGAATCAGTCTCTATTCGCCAGAACACACACACACAAACACACACATTCCCGCAAACACTAGTGAGGTCGTAGTTAAAAACATGAAAACTGAGGACTTGCCTTTCCCAATGTTTTAGGAGGAAGAAAAAACACTTTCTAGACACTTGATGGCGCTGCGGAGCTATACACTCCATTGAAAAAATTTTAGAACCAAGATTTAAGAAAAAGTTTTGAACCATCAGAGTGGGGGCAATAAGTGAAATTTGCAAAAAAAAATCATGAATAGACCTTTTTTTTAACTCTTTGAAGGTATATTTAGAATTATATAGTTGGTCACATGTGCAAATGGACACAGATTATTATGTGGGATCACAGCAATTTTAATAAAACAAAGCAAAACATTTGAAAGACAGGTTTATTTGCATCTTTGTATTTTGACTTGTCCCAACAGGACAATTACAAAGGACCTAATACAAAGTGCTCTTGAACGGGACTTTAAAACATAACTGCACTTAACATTAAAGCAGGGCGGTCAAACTCATTCCTAAAGCGCCGCAGTGGCTGCAGGTTTTCCATCAGACCAAGCAGGAGCAGAGCAGACTCCTCCCATTTCCTCAAACCTTCAGGTTAAGACTGAACTCACTGAGGAAATGGGAGGAGTCTGCTCTGCTCCTGCTTGGTCTGATGGAAAACCTGCAGCCACTGCGGCGCTTTGGGAATGAGTTTGACACAAATACCAGCTACACAAGCTGCCTCTTGAGTCGGATAATAGTATTATACACAAAGTACTTGAGGTCCTTCCAGGTTCTGTTGATGAGGGCTGCAGACTCCTGTGTGAGGCACAGCACACAGAGCCATGTACTTCCCCATCCTCTTCTCCACGGCTCTCCTCCTCACTCCAGGGTTTCTTTGGGTTTCTAGAAGCTTCTGATGGAGACAATAAGACACATAAAGACTTATGTTTATCCTGATGACCAGGTCTGGACCAGGTCTAAACCAGGACTGAACCAGGACTAAACCAGGACTGAACCAGGACTGAACCAGGACTGAACCAGGTCTACCCTAGGTCTAAACACCAGGACTGAACCAGGTCTAAACCAGGACTGAACCAGGTCTAAACCAGGACTGAACCAGGACTGAACCAGGTCTAAACCAGGACTAAACCAGGTCTAAACCAGGACTGAACCAGGACTAAACCAGGACTAAACCGAACCAGGACTAAACCAGGCCTAAACCAGGTCTGAACCAGGACTAAACCAGGACTAAACCAGTACTAAACCAGGACTAAACCGAACTAGGACTGAACCAGGTCTAAACCAGGTCTAAAAAAGGACTGAAACAGGACGTAACCAGGACTCGAACCCAGGTCTAAACAAGGACGGAACCATGGACAGAAACTCAGGCCGAGAAACCATGTCTAAACCAGGTCACACCGAGGACTAAACCAGGATCTCATGTTGTAACTCACCATCTGTCCTCTTGGTCCGTTTGTTTTTCTTGGCCTTTGTGGAGGTCGGACATCTAGCTCCTCTATACATCAGGAACAATTCAGCACACGCTACGAACACAACAGAAGGGTCAGCAAGGACAAAACCCAGGTCCTGAACCAGATGCCTCAAACCAGGACTGCAAACAGGTCTAAAACCAGACTGAAAACAGGACTAAACCAGGACCTGAACCAGGACTAAACCAGGTCCTGAACCAGGACTAAACAGACTAAACCAGGACTTAACCTGGGACTAAACCAGACTCGACCAGGACTGAAACAGATCTACCCTAGGTCTAAACCAGGTCTACCTAAGGTCAAAAACCAGGAACTAAACCAGGACTAAACCTGGGACTTAAACCCAGGACTAAACCAGTACTGAACGAAAAAAAGGGGAAGGGACTAAAAGCGCACCAGGACTGAACCAGGACTAAACCAGGACTAAACCAGGCCTAATACCAGCGACTAAACCAGGACTGAATACCAGGTCCCTAAACCAGGACTGAACCAGGACTGAAACCAGGCCTAAAACCAGACAAACACCAGGACATAAACCAGGACTAAACCAGGAGTCAGTTTTGTACTCACCACTGTCCTCTTGGTCCGTATGTTTTTTCTGGCCTGTTGTGGATGTCGCTCTAGCATGCCTCTTCATCAACACTTCACCGCACAACGATCCTTACAAAACGCAATGAACACACAGACGGGTCAGCAAGGACTTAAACCAGTCCGAACCAGGACTACAAAAAAGCCAGGACTAAACCAGGACAAAACCACAGGACTCAACCATAGGACGAGAACCCCGAATAGCAGGATAAAAATAACACCTAGGAGGACTTAGACAACCCAGGTCCATGAACCAGGACTTAGAAACCAGGACTGCGTAAACAGGTCTAAACCAACGGACGTGACACGAGAATCTAAACCAGGAAGACTGAAGAAGGACCAGGGAACTAAGTCAGACTGAACCTAGGACTAAAAAAGACACTTGTTTAAAAACCCCTAAAACGTAAAAAACTCAGGTGACTGAACCAGGGAGGGCATGACTAAAAACCATGACTCTTGAGGTAAACCAGGAACGAGTACTAAGACCGACGTAGGTCTGAGCTTGAACCAGGAAGGACAAAATCCGCACCGCAACAGGGACGGGACTACTTTGGAAAGCCAGGAGCTGAACCCGGGACTCTGAACCAGTACTAGAAACCCATGCAGGACTAAACCAGGACTAAACAGGGACTGAACCAGGGACTCAAAACCAGGACTGAACCAGGCCAAAACCAGGATCTAAACTAAGAAGCCTAAAAGACCCAGTCTAACAAAACCCAGATACTAAGCCTAGGGTCCTTAAACCGAGTACTAAACCAGACTAAACTCTTGACTAAACCAGCAGGACTAAAAACCAGGATAGAACCAGCACAGGAACCAGTGACTAAACCATGCCTAACCAACGTCTAAACCACGATCTAAACCGAGGACATAAACCAGGTCCTAAACCAGGAATGAACCAGGTCAACCCCTAGGTCATACAACACCAGGACTAACCTCCAGGTGACTGATACAGGTTCTAAACCAGGGTCGAAAACCGAGGTCCAAACCAGGACTAAACCAGGATCAGTTGTACTCACCATCTGTCCTCCTCTTGGTCCTTTGTGTTATTCTGGGCCTTTGGTGGAGGTCGGGCTCCTAGCTATCCTCTTCAATCAGACACTTCGCCACACACTAAGAACACACAGAAGGGTCAGC